CATCATTTGTATTAAACAGTTTCACAATTTTATTGTTTGACATACAACCCCAAGGTACTTGTTATGCAGGACACTGTCCTTAACATGTTTATGCTTTTTCATATAATGTTTAAAAAAATTTTTAAGACAAAGAAGCAAAGCTTAGGACTCATCTTGGATTTTCCTGAAATTGTTATCACAGGTAGCTATTTTCCCATATTTTTCGAGATGCGGGTCTCTGAGATTCCTAAAATGCTTAGACCTAAAACATGGAACAAGTAAAGTTTTATCATTAAAAAAAAATAATTTAGGGAGAAGAAATTCAAACGCGAATTATAAAGAGCAGCAGCAGAGTTGTGTATGTGTAAACCCGAGTATGCGCCTGTTCTTAGGCGAAAGTCTCAATATGTGTATATTGCTTATTTTTGGATTAAGTCGCGTTTATCTCCGATTTCTGAAACTCACTACATGTAGGTCTTGTCTTAGAGGCTATGTGGACAAATATTTAGATTAAAAACAAATTTGATTCCGTAGCCGGAAGGCTTTAATCATCTTTTGACGAATGATGAATATAGCCTTCCAAAGTTCTAAGTGTAGAATTAAGGTTCTTGGTACATATAGTATTTGTTATGTTATTGTTGATATTATTAACCGAATTGTGGTTGTTAGGGGAAAAGCCATATTTTTTAGAAGCATTTGATGGTTCAAAAGCTTAGTGTTGGTTCAAAAGCAATGATGTATAGTTAGGTACTGCTTCTTTTAGAAGTTTTTATACTTCAGAAAGTATCAGAAATATTTAGAATGAGCAGCTGAACTCAACTTGCTGCTTATTTAAAAAAAAAAATAAATAAATAAATAAAAATTAAAAAAATAAATTTAAAATATAGGGTAAGTGTACCAATCGTCGGCATTTTAAAGATTTACGTATTTTACATTTTCCGCCATTCTGGGTGCAGTTTATCCATTATAATGTATTAAGGCTCATTTTTTTCGACGTTCCCACGCCTCTCATTCCCACCCCTGTCGACCGAGGGGGCGACCTCCCCTTACGTAGGGATCGCGTACACACCATGATCCGTATCATGATGGGATTTGAGAGTGGAATAGAAAAACCAGCTACAGAATCTACTTCAACAGCCAGTTTGTTATTAAGTTTTACTTCTCATTTAAAAATACAATAATATTAGACTTTATTTGTTCTACGCTAAAGCAAAAAATCTACATTAGAGTATACAGAGTTAAAGTCAATACACATTTTACTAAGAGCATCTCCCATAGAGTAATTCGTGCGGTGGAAGTCTACATATAACAGTTGATAGTGTCTACTAGATCGGACAGGAACAAACGAATTAATTTTAACCTGCTAGTATAAGATGGCAACACAAAACTACTATTCCAATGTAATCCTCTCAGTACAAAAAGTAAAAATTGTTTCTGCACGGATTCGATTTTATCAGAATATATTGCATATTGGGGATCCCATACCAAATTTATACTAAAGCCAATATGATTTAATTTATAAAGTAGAAGTTCATTGTTAACCCTATCAAAAGCTTTACTAAAGTCTATAAATTGTATCAGTTTGTTTATGTTGAACAAATCCCTTTAGAAGTAAAAAGTCCCTTTAGAATAAAGGGATTTGTTCAGCGTAAACAAACTGATACAATTTATAGACTTTATTAAAGCTTTTGATAGGGTTAACAATGAACATCTACTTTATGAATTAAATTATATTGGCTTTAGTATAAATTTGGTAAATTTGATTTTATCTTACTTACACAGCTAGTTTTGTTTGAGGGATGTCTTTCAAAATCGATTAATGTTCCATCAGGTGTTCCGCAAGGAAGTCATTTACGTCTCTTGTTAGACCTATTTTAGAATATGGTTCTGTTGTATGGGATCCCCAATATGCAATATATTCTGATAAAATCGAATCCGTGCAGAAACAATTTTTACTTTTTGCACTGAGTAGAAGTAAATTGTATAAGATTGGCAATAGTTGAAAGACCACTACGAAAACCATGTTGATATGGACTTAACAAGGGTTGAATTCTGTGTGAAATAACGATAGTAATTAACTTTTCGAACAATTTTGGAATAGCACTTAATTTTGCACTTCCTCTATAATTCGAGACATTTGTTAGACTACCATATTTAACGGAATAATTAAATAATAACGTTAGAGGTAATGCTAATGTATCTGAACAATTCTTTAGAATTATGCTGAGTATACCATCAGGGCCTGGACATTTAATAGGTTTTAAACTACGTAGATTTTTAGAGACCTCTCGACTTTGTGGGAAGGGCATAAATATTTCATCTATATTTGATAGTTCATAAGGATATGGGTCTTTATCCTGATATTTATTTAAGTTCGTTAGCATTTATGTTATAGATTTATACATATGAAATGTAATGTCTGTGGTTCCAATATTGCTCTTGGCTCGAGAGGAATATATAGTATATTTATATGAAGGATTCCTTAAGCTTCCTTTCCCCTCCACTTTTCTTAGCGACAGTTAAGTAGAGTGTAGTGGATTGGGGTTCTTGTTTGGAAATTTACTTAGTTTATTCTTTGGCCATGCTGGCTTTTTTATATTACATTGTATGAAATAAATGAAATGATAATTAGTCTTAGAATAAGTCGTGGCAAAAAAAATTGCAAAACATTCAGCAATTTCGGAGTTTTTCGAAAATTTTTTGGTTATTGTATTTTAAAATTGTAGGCTTAGAAGAAACTTTTCTTTTTAGATTAACAAATTCATAAAATGATTTTGGATTGGATTTAAAATTATCCTTAATCTTGATATTTTGATCTAGCAACAGAATAGTTAGCATAGTCTATAGAGGATCCTGATTTTTTATATTTTTTATAAAAAGTTTATTTTTTGAGTTTTTTATACTTGACAATTCGCGTGTATTCCATGGATGTCTATCAGAGCTTCTAGTTCTAACAGTAGGAACACATTCAGAAAAAAAAATTGTTTAGAGTAACATAAAATGTATCTATTGTAAACTCGAGATCAATAGGACTCTTACAAAGGCATATAGAGGTCCAATTTACAGATGAGATGAAGGAGGAATATATGAACAAGTGACGAATAATTTAAATTTACCCAATTCAATGGATATGCACACAAATTCTATATCAGTTAAATGATTTAATTGGATTACATTAGTGGAATATTTGGCGTCTACTGCGATGAGGACACCACCACACCTTTTATTTATCCGATCTTTTCTGATATTTTGAACTTAGAATTTCACTATTAAGCACAGATATTTTAAGCCAAGTTTTAGAAAATACTATAATATTATAATCAAAACCATGGCTATCAGTATATAAACGAGTTAACTTTGTATTTAACCCTCTTACATTCTGGTAGCAAATAGTAAGAAAATTATTTAGTTTTTTGAAGCCGTTTCTGGTTTACGAGGCAATCGAGCCAAATTTTCTGTCCTTTCTAGAAATTATTTTACGAATGCTCTAGTAGGCAAAAAATCTCTCGAGATCAAGTTTGTAAATATATCATCATGCACTAATATTTTAAATGAAGACCTACTCTCTGAATATACTGATCGAAGCTTAAAGCATCGTAAAAAGTAACTTCCCTCAATTTTTGATTTAATATAATAATTTATATCATCAGCCGTAGTATCCGGTGCAAACCTAGATACAAATACCATTTTCATGGCTGGAACCGTTACTAATGGCCTTTGGGAGGTTTGTGGGATTTTACCAGTTGAAGCCACGTGAGCAGCCACAGAAGACGCATCAGATGAAGGAAGTGATAACTCCTGTATTCCATGAGTAGTTGTCTCCAATCTGGGGATAGCAATACTCATGATTTAGGGGTTATTATTCCTTCCGCTGTATCCTTTCTGGTTTCAGTAGCTGCCTCCGTCACAACACAAGCATACGACTGGCCACGAACAGATTCAGTTGTATGTATGACACTTTCACAAACTGTTCGTGATACAGTACTCCCAGCAGAAACCGTAGATCTCTTGCGTTTCTGTCCAGAAACTGACGGCGATGACACAAACTCTTCTAGATCTTGGTACTTCTCGAACTTTGAAGAAAAGTTTTCAAATCGGGTCGATAATAATATACATATGACTTACTTTAAGCTTGATATAAATATTTTATTACTGTTTTAATGGTGGAAGTCAGTGTGTTCAAAACTGCCCCAACAGGGGGACAGCTTTGAGCAAGGCTTGACATTTTTCAACGGCCTGTTTTTTTACAGTACCAGTAATGCATTTATTTGTTAAAAAATATATACAAAAATTTTAGAAAATTAAAAAATTCAGATCAAAATTTATAAAAACATAAAATTACATAAAAACAAAAACTATTATGGTGAAATTTTTAGAAATCGAAGCCAAAAGTTAAAAACTGAACCTGTGAAATTTTTCGGAAATTTATAATAACTTTTTTTGTAGGAAATATATATGAAAGAAAGTACATTAGTTATGTTTGAAATGATTGTTGGAATGTAAAAAAATTGTTTAACGAAAGAAAACTACCACTGAATTCTCGTTCCCACGACAATCGGATCTACGCTCCGGAACGACCCGAGTTCGACTCGGCCAGGGATTGTCAACTCAGCAACAGCTGTACAAAACGAAAGCAATTAATGTCGGCAGCTTTGCTCGCCACTCTTTTAATCCGTGCCGGCGTTGAACAAAGCCCAGGCCCTAATGTCTGGTTTTGGTCAGTGTGTCATCAACGCATCGCTGCAAATTCCACCTCTGTGCGATGCAATGTTTGCAACAATTGGTGTCACCTGAGGAGGTGCTCAGGTCTCACCTCACACCGCGACTGGTCACGCAGCTTCATTGCCAGCTGTTGCCTGCAGCCTTCGACATCTAGCACCTTAACTCCAACAGCCCCGAGAAATTCCATCCTTTCTCAGCAACCTGTCCAGAACTCCAAGTGGTACTGTTCGGTTTGCGGGGAAATCATACGGAGAAATATAACATCTGTAAGGTGCAATGTTTGCAGAAACTGGTGCCATATGAGAAGATGTACCACCCTGCGTTCACACAGGAATTGGAATCCAGGCTTTGTAGCCGATTGCTCCACTAACAATCCAGCAGTATCCGCTAGAATCCAGTGGAGTCCTTCCAGTACTACGGCTAGCACTCCGTCTAGTTTTCCATCCAGTAGTACTGCTACTAGTGTGAGTACTAGTGGTAGAGCTAGTTATTCCGTTAGCTCTTCCTCCAGTTCTGCTGCTAGCTCCCCGGCTAGTTTTCCATTAAGCAGAACTCCTACCAGTTCCAATGCTGGTAGTTCCACTAGTTATTCTACTAGTGATTCGCGTACTACGGCTAGCACTCCGTCTAGTTCTCCATCCAGTAGTTCGACCACTAGTGCTCATACTGGTAGTGAAGTTAGTTATTCTACTAGCTTCTCTTCCTATTCTACGGCTAGCACTCCGTCTAGCCATTCATCAAGTAGAATTCATTCTAGTGTTCCGACTAGCACTCCTTCTAGTCATCCTATTCCAACAACGAATGCTCAAAACTTCCCATCCAGACAACAGCGTTACAGGCAGGTTTTCCGTTCGCCGAATAACTCCACCCGCCTGCCTCCACAGCAGCAGTCCATGCAGGGGAGTGATCCAAATACCTCATTCCTAATCATTCAATTTAATTGTAATGGTCTTAGGAATAAGGTAATTGAGATCACAAACTTCAGGCATGAAAACAACATCCTCATTGCTGCCTTGCAAGAGACGAAGCTGACCAGTAGTTGTTCCTTATCCTCCTCCGGGAATAAAATATCATTCGGCGAGACAGAGATAGAGACCATGGCGGGGGACTCGCATTCATAATTCAGCGAGATGTCAGATATACTCTGACTACCCCTCCGTCTCCTTCCCAGTCTGATCCTTTCCTGGAGGTTTTGAGCATTTCAGTTCATTCCGACGATGCCGAAATTGAAATTGTCAATGTATATATTCCGCCCGTCAACAGCATTGGGGCTAGTTATCATCCATCTGCTGCAGGGAGATAATAAACTTGTTCTTGGCGATTTCAACGCTCATCATGATATATGGTATTCTCAACTTCCAAATGATCCTCGCGGTGTTCTTATATAGACGAGTCCGATTTCGCTTCCATCAATGAGGAATCCTCTACCAGAGTCACTGCCAGGTGTTCGAGCTCTCCGGACATTTCCATCGTCAGTCCATCGCTCCTTCCATATACTTCCTGGCAAACCAAGGTCGCATTAAATTCAGACCATATTCCCATCCTGGTCACGGTAGAGAAACCCAGCGATTTCGTGGAGCCCGATCAGCGTACCTTCATGAATTATAATAAAGCCAACTGGCACGGCTTCACAAAATTCATTGAGGACTCCTTAAGTCCTATGCCGCCACCCGTATGTGCCAGAAAGGGTGAGAAGATTTTCCGAGAAATTATTCAAAAAGCGGCAAAACGCTTTATTCCTGCGGGCAGAATTCCTCTAATGAGACCAAATTATCCATCCAGGGCATCCAGATTGGCACAGCAACGCGACCAACTTCGTGCCGAAAGCCCCGCTGACGACAGAATTCCGCAGCTTAGCGCTGAAATAGATGCTCTAGTCCTTGAGCACAGGCGCTCTAAATGGTTAGAACACCTTAACCACTGCAACATAAATTCCAATCAGCTATGGTCCACAATTAAGAGTTTATCTGGTTCCAAAAGAAATAAAAATCTCCCAGCTATTTCCTTCGATAACATTCAACATTCCGATGCCAAAAAATGTGCAATGCAGTTCTGCCGCCAATTCATTGAGCATCCATCTTCGCAGAACAGGACCAAGCGAGCAGTTATCCGGAGATCCAAGAATCTTAAAAGAGACTTGCAGCCACTATCATTTACATCCAGCGAGGTAGAGGCAATTATCTCCAAATCCAAACCATCCAAAGCCCTTGGTCCATACGGCATATCCATGTTCATTTTAAAGAAGGTTGGAGCAATAGGGCTGGGCTATCTGACCAAAGTCCTCGAGTTATCGATGTCACAGTTGGTAATTCCTGACATTTGGAAAGTTGCCCGGATTATTCCAATCCTAAAACCTGATAAATCCGCTACTAATGGGAGTACCGCAAGGCGGTGTCCTTTCTCCCATTTTGTTCAGCATGTATCTTGCGAAACTCCCCATTCCTCCACCAGATGTTTCAGTGGTGTCGTACGCCGATGACTGTACGATTATTTCGTCCGGCGTTAAGATTGACGACGTAGGTGCAAGAATTTCCAACTCTCTAGCCACCATCACCAACTTCTTCCGGGAGCGCAATCTAAAATTATCCACTGCAAAGTCTACCGTGTCACTTTTCACCTCCTGGACGCGAGAAGTCAATTTAGAACTTGACATTTCCGTTGAAGGTAGGCGCATCCCCACCGTCCATAATCCGAAAATCCTTGGGGTGGTCTTCGATAGCCTCCTTCATTTCTCCTCGCATTCCAATTACATCAACCAGAAGGTGAAAGCTAGAAATAAAGTTCTGAAAGCTTTGGCTGGCACCTCCTGGGGCAAAGATAAAGAAACGCTGGTAACGACTTATAAGGCTATAGGTCGTTCCATCCTGAATTATGCTGCCCCAGTCTGGACTTCTTTCCTTAACGACACACAATGGAGATCATTGCAAACTTCCCAAAATAATGCTCCCCGAATTGCTACCGGGTGTGTCCAGATGACGAGCGTCGATCACCTCCATGAGGAGACCAGGATGCTGTCAGTCAAGCAACATAATGTGTTGTTGACTAGACAGTTCCTGCTTTCATGCTATCTGCCGTGTCATCCTAACCATCACACTGTGATGGCAGATCCACCTCCGCGACACATCCGCCAGGACTTCAGGCGCTATCGTGATGACATCCAAGACGTCATTCCATCGGACGTCAACAGATTGTCGATAGCGAACGCGATGAAATCCGTGCATCAACTGTCGGTCTCCGATGCCATAAATGGCAACAGATGCAATAAAGTCCTACAACAACATCCTCCTGCAATTTCGGAGAGTGAGAGGCTTCTTCCTAGGCAAACCCGTTCAATTCTGGCACAACTAAGGTCAGGATACAGCAATGTACTCAACTCGTATCGAGAGCGCATTGTCCCGGAACCCTAAACAGGTGTCCCTCCTGCCAGCAAATCCCTCACGACACACACAATTTATTCAATTGTCCGTCCGAGCCTACGAGTCTATTGCCCATAGACTTATGGCTAAAGCCAATAGAGGTGGCACAATTTCTCCGGCTACCCTCTTCAAATCCGAATTCCTAATTAATTAATATATTTTCATTTTCCTTCCGTTTTCTTCTATCAACATTTTTCAGGAAAGAACTTTCGTCAACAGCCAACCTGTTACAAAAACAACAACCACTGAATTCATCCTGCGCCCTTACAACCAAAAAATTAAAAGGTTACAATGGCACTGCGAAAACATGGTCACCCATGTAAAAAAGGTAGCCAAAATGGTTTACGCAGATAAAGAACAAGATTGTCATATATAAAAAATTGGTTGCGAGTCGGAAAAAATTTAAACCTAGGTTTTAGGAGCGCTGTTCAAAGGTGCCCCCCTCTCCCCTAATAATTTTAATAAATTTACCGGTCTATTAATAATTTTAAATTCTAAAATGTTCCTCTGCATGTTCCTAACAATTATAAAGAAAATTCGGGTGATAAATGTACAATTTTAATAAAGTTACGAGTCTTTTAAAATCGGCATACTCACTAATTTTTTCTTAAGAAACATGCAGTGTCGCTTGAGGTGAAATAATAAATTAACTTAGATTGCTGAAATTTTACACAGAGATAGTTGACAATATTATTGAAGATTATTCAAGGCAGTTTTCATATTTAGTGAAAGGATTTTTTTAGTTATTTGAAGTTATATACAACTGATGCCGAGTACTGGTACATGCTGACATTAGGAGCACTTACCCTCCCTGTTCGAAAAGAAATTAAGTAAACTTGTTTTCATTTTTGTAAAGTTCCGTAAAATTACAACCTTTAAAATGATACCCGTATTGCCTTAGTTATAATCATACACCTATTTTGAACAACATATTTTCCGAATTTTTAAGACCAATAACTCGGGTGGCATGCTTTTAAATATATAATTTATTCTACATGAAACAATTTGCAAGGTATGTAAAGAATAATATATCTAGGTTAGGACATTTTTCTCAAATGGGAACGTAAAGAGTGTTACCATTACGTGAGGGTTCATGCCAAAAAAATATACTATGCCGGGAATTAGAAGGAGAGTTTTTACCCAATAGGAATCAAAAATACCGAATTAAAGTCAATTTGAAATATGCATGTTGTTACACACAGAAGAAAAAATCATGTAAAATCAATTAAAGTCATGTTGATTCAACATTTTTTCCTAACGATTTTGCTTCATTATCGTTTCATGTTGATTCAACATGATTTTACAGTAAAATTGAAACAACATTTTGTCGTTTTAAAATAACACGAAATCATGTTAATTTAACTGTGTTGTTTTAGTTGAATTAATGCCATTATCATTTTGAAATAATGTGAACTTCTTATTAAATCAACATTTTTAAAAGTTAAAATAACATGAAATGCATGTTGAATCAATACGAATTAAATGTTGAATTAACTATGAAATCATTTAAAGTTTATATAACTGTCATATTAAAATAACATGAAAACACGTTAAAATGATATGAAAACCACGTTGAAACTACTTGGAATTTCATGTTGAAATAACATTGGTTCATGTTGAAATGTATATACAGTCGGTCCTAAAAATGTTTATATACATACCATTTATATCCATATCTAAAATTTAATTAAAAATCAATTATTTGTTATGTATATTTTGGTTATATATTTTTTGAAATATTGTTTCTTAAATATATTTTACCATTATTAATAGGAAATATATGTAAAGTGGGACTTGTAAATTCATGGAGTTCTTTTAAAAATACAACGTACGATTGGAATGTTCGTAAAAGCTGCAAATTTCAACCTCAGAACATATTGTTACGTTGTTTTATTTCCCACTACAGTTCCCCTACAGTTCGTACTAAATAAAACGCGGGTTCTTTCTGATTACGAATATTACAATGATTTTATTGACGCAACTTTACTTTGCACTTTACTTTACTTGACGGTTTCAATTCGCGATCTGATTCACAACTGACTAACTGCCTTTCCATTTCCCCTATTTATATGAGCCTTGCATGTCGCTACAGCAGTTTCTAGACGATCTGGTAACACCTAGATTACGAACAATCTACCAATGCAACACACACATACAAACTTACATTGAGTGAACAATAACAACAACACATATACAGGCGAGGGAGTAACAAAGAGGAATTAAGCGATCATTAATGATGACGTTTAACAAGAATTGTACGTCAATAACAAAATAGAAAATGAAAGAGGAAATGGAAGGATGTAGAAAAATCTATACCAAGGTGTATTTAATAAGGTGTAAGTGACAATCATATGGTTTCAAACTTTTTCTTTATTGTTTGTAAAGTAAATTGTCAAAAACATTTTCAATATTACATTTCGATTTTAAGGAAACTTAGGCTCAGTTATAACCCCGTTCGCCGATTGGTCCACATATTTTATGTTATGGGTCTAAATCTGTCCAGAAACCCCAGCTACTCATAAAATCGAGGAGATTATGTTAGCCTATATTCGAATCGGTCCCTTGGTGCTTGTCACAATTCTCGGCGGAGGTTAAATACGCCTATGGAAAGATTTTATACAGTCAACACAATGTCCATGATTTAGTCTTTGGCCGGGGATTTATGTCCTTCAATTTTCTTTAAGAAGGCAAGATTTGAAGCCACT